CCATGAGAGCATAATGTAAAAAACGAGCCAAGCCATTATGTGAATAATGGCTTGGCTCATTTAGCCAAGGCATTATTCACCATTTAGTCAGGTAGTGACATATCGGGAGGCGACATATCGGGTAGAATTACCCGTAAAAACTTTTGAGTCGTTGAATATGTTACTGAAGTCAGTTACTTAACTTTAATTAATTAAAGACTATTGGAAAAAAGATCGATTTACGTTCATTGTATGCCATATTAATTAAGTTTGGTTTTCAGTTACAAAATAAGTAGCATAATAAATAATAACAACAATAATAATCAAAACTTCTAAAAGCTAATTGAAAAATAAGAATTTAATACTAAAAATGATGGACCTTAATGTAATTATCATTTATTGCCATCAGAAATGCTATTTATATTAAAAACTTTTAAATCGATTATTTTATATAAGCTGTAAATGTAATAATATTATTGAAATCTTTGCTATCGATCTCTCAAATCAGTAATGTGTACTGTAGATGGTTTGCATTACTGATTTATGTGATAGCGCGTGATATACGATATACAGTACTGATTTAAGTGATATGCTATTAAACTAACGAAAATCTTCGATAATTATTTATTATAGACAAATATTTTTATAATTTAAATTGTAAACTTCAATGTATTAAATACATGTCTATTAAACTAAAAAGACAACGAATTCAGATTAATATTGATTATTGAACCATATTATTAATTAAGATTGATTCTCTACGACGGAGTCCGCGGTGATAACTTATGTAGCAAAATCATTTCGTCATACTGAGATAGAAAAAGACGTGTTTACAGAGTTGAATCGAACTCGATTTTTACGTATGTACAGTACAAGCAAAAAGTTGAGTATTTATGTTGGCGTTATTGAGCACTGAACGATTCAGATTTGTGCAAAAGTCTTCTTCCAGTTATAAACTGCAGCTATCAGTTAAGAAGAAATAATAGTACTGTATATTGTTTGGTAAATTACATGTAAAAATTAAAATAACTACAGTAGCTATCACTTTTCTAACATGTTTTGTTCGAAAATATCGTTTAGCAACGTTCATAATGAAAATTATGAATGTTGGCGGGAAAAGGCCTAAAATCACTAAAATAAAATAAAATAAAAACGGTCATTGGTGTTTAATACAGTAGGATCTGTATTTAGGTTATTATCGGCCAGAGGGTCGTGCGGCATGAATTCTATGACTTCTCAAAGCGATTATATTTGAATCTACTTCAGAATCACCAGCCTATTACGCCTCGTGGTAGGATTGAATCTAAACTAGATTATCCAGATTTTTCATGGAAAATTCGTATTCGCGTTTCGTTCATCATTCATGCTGGAAAAATCAATTCTTCCGTAATAAATAAAATTAGACAGTCAAACATTTGCGAATTAGTATTTCTCGTGCAATAATTCACTCTATCATTATTTTTTTTAACTTTCTCAGTCCTGTGGGCACTAAGAGGGTCTTTATAACAAGACCATTATGGATTCGGCTAGACGTCAGTCAGGTGGTGAGAGACTGAGCCAGACATATCAGGACGGGCCATTTATGAAAAATTGCTGATGTTTATCGATGCGTCCAGAATCGATCCCTGTCGCCCAGAGCTGTACCACCCATGGGCGTTTGCAGAAAAGTTTCCAGGAAGCAAAGCTTGGAAACTTTTGGATCTCTGGGTCGAAAACGGCCCTGGATCTGCAAGTTTCTCATCACTAATTCTGCTGCTGTCATAATAAAAAAGTTACAAGATACTGTAGCTAAATGAAATAATTAAATAAATATTTACGTAAAGTTTAAGACATCATTTATTAAATTAATTAAAATAAGAAATTAAATATCAAAAGAAAAAAACTTTTTTTTCATTTTTCTTTCAACATTTGGAAATAATGTATATTTTAAATTTATTTTTATTTTATTTCTTGTAATTAATAAAATTTTATGATTAAATATTATATTATTTTATAATATGACCTGTAATATTTTATTTTTACTAAATTATTTATTCATTTTATAATTATATTTATTAATAATAACAGAAATAATAATTAACCTTTCGAACTGTTTCATTTTGTAAGTTTTTAAGAATCGGGCTTATTTCAAGACTGATTTTCATATGAGCATTAGAACCGTGTTTATTAACGCGGAATGCTAAAAACGAAATCTAATTGGCTAGGAGGGTGGTGCGAAGAATTTTTCTGAGTAACTTTGGACGGTATCCTGAGTCAGCGTGGAAGAAATAAAAATGATTATTCTTCATTGTAGTCGTAATTTATCACCGTTATAATATATATATATATATCAGGTTATAAAAGCGAAATTTAAACATTTTGAAAAAAAAAATCTTTATTGACAATTAACTCAACAACTATTACAATTCAGTCTTGTAGATAATCACCATTAATACCAATTATATCTCACTATCTTTACTGTAAACTTTCAATCCCATGAATGTAGAATGACTGTGGTTTCCTATGATTAAAACCTCGAGCTTCATTTTCACGTGGGTATTGTCATTGAGCTGAATACTGAACTGTATATTGGCAATATGGTTCTGCAAGGTGTGAAATAGATGTTAATCAGCTGATGCCGAGTCTGGGCAATAAGGTGAACGAAACAGAATCTCCCAGCTCAAACCGGCCAGTTTCTCTAAGATTATCTTTGTTCTATATGCTGGCGCGTTGTCGTAGTTGTATCGGACTTTGTCAATTTTTGGAGTGTATGGGAACACTTAAGTTGTGCAAATTCTCCGGTAGTCAATCGTGTGTTAGTTATCTATCAGTTACCGGAGAACGTCGTTATCAATTTTGTGAAAACGTTGTCTGGATGGGGTTCATCTTGAAGCGAGAAATCTTCATTCTTGAATTTCTTGAACCAATTGTAGCAGGTCTGCCTGTTGACTGTCCTCATCAGATGCTTTGCAGATAAGATCGTGAGCCTTCGTTGCGTTGCGTTGTGGCCACTTTTGAAGCGATAGAGTGATAGAGCAACAGTACACGAATGCGTTCTTTTAAAAATTTCATATTGTCTGACAATATGAAACTTTCAAAAACAATCAGACATATTGCTAATGCATCTATTTACAATGAAATATGTGATGTAATGCCTCTTGGTTACTTTACTTTTATACCCATAGCGAACGTTCTAGAACATTTTTTTCCCCAGTCGTTTCTAGAAGAAAATCGAAATATCTAAATTTTACCTTTACAACCTGATATATGATATATACAGCAAAACCTCGGTTTTCAAACTTGAGTCGTTTCTAGAAGTTGTTCGACAACCGAAACAAATTTTTCCGTAAGAAACNCGAAAAATACTTTGTCCAGTGTAAGTTATATTCTAATTCTGATTTATACGGAAAGAGAGAGATGTTTAACATTTCTTCATTTTTAAAACGTTTTTGTTTTATATTCGATTCACTAAATTCAATCTACACATACTTAAGAACGGTAGTAATAGTCAAAGTATTTAACACTGGATACACAAATATAAATTCATACGTAATGCGTATAAAAATTAAAGGGACATTCTTACGTGCGATTGAGCTAGAGCATGTTATTTATAAATTAACTTTTGATGAGATTTCCTCTATCTAGCCTGTCTGAGCCATAATTCGACATAAAAAAATTGCATCAGAATCTTCTACTTGGTTTTTCTATTAAATTGGTAGTCATTGTAATCTCAATAATTAGAGCATTTCTTTTAATATCATTTATCATAGACATTATTACTGTGATATTTAACAGCCAGTATGGAAGTATTTATAAATTTTAACAGCCGATACTGCCGTACGATTCGAACTGGTTGAATATCACCCCTACTTAATGTTATAACACTTTTACTATCAATATATTGTATATCTTATTTAAAACGTTGAAAATAACTTTATTAAAACTGAAAATTTGTATATAATAAAAATATTTATTATTTTTGTCATAAACGAATGAAGGTCAACTTTTATATTGACTCGGCAATTTGATTTTACAGACATCAACGATGAAAACTACACCGAATATTTAATCTTTGCACATATTTTAAATTGTTAATAATTCGACTTTGTTAACGTAAAATATAAATAATTAAAATTAATTTAAACAATTAATATTTTATTAATATTAATAACTAACTATCACGAAAAATTATTAATTTACGTCTGAATAAGCTTATTATTTTTGAAAGTTGATCTCAAATTCATCTATTCACGAGATTCTATGAAACTCGCTACTGTATTAAAATGAACAAAGCTGCCCCGAGCGCTGAACTTCATTGCGTAAACTTATTTAACCCTTACGTAACAATCAATTATTACGTAACGGTTACATGCAATTCCTACTTATATAATAATGCAATAAATTAAAAATATCACGGTGCGAATGGAATTGGAAATGTTTTCCGTATGGTTCATAAGAGCAAAATAATAATAATTAAGAAAAAAAATTTGACTAATAATTAATTAAATTTATATTTATTATTAAAAACTTTTACGTATCTTAGGTAATTTTGACTTAGTAATTACCTAACTGAAATCCCGTCGCTGCTCGGAAGAAAAGTAATAAAAACAAACATTAAAATGAAAATCATATTAAAAGTTTGGTTTGTTTTATCTACCATTGTTTTATCATAAAGTGTCAAGGCAATGGTTCCCAAACTCTTGTGACTCGCGGATTCCTTAATCTGCTGCTATCTGGCAGTGGCTCTCAACTTGTTATTAAGTTAAATACTGACATTATATATATATGTTATATTTGGAGAGAAAACTCAGGTTAGGTGATACTCTATCTAAGAGTAATGGGTGTGTTGGTATTAAAGAATAAATACTACATTTATCGATAGAATATCATCAAACGAAAAAAATTCTCAAAAAAATTTTCTTTATTTTTCTTAATATTATATTAAAGCTTTTTTTATATTAGTCTTTTTATATTAAAGCAATATACAAATTTATAAAATTAGACTTTACGATATTTAAATCATTAATTTTTTTATTTTTCAGATATGGATTATTTCGTTTTAAGATTTCATCGTTTTTTCTTCAAATATTTTATTACAAAATTGACTTGTTCCCATCATATTCGTTAGATTTAAATTAGTTAAATAATACTTAAGATCTTCTCTAACTTTAAAATAACTATTGTTCAAGACATGGAGGATTCAGATTGTTATATTTGTATTATGAAATATATATTTCTTTATCTTAAAATATTTGGTTTATCAGGGATTATTCCTGATAAATTGTGTAAGCATGAATCGGGACGACATTCTAATAAAAGGCAAGTAATCGAGTTTCTTATCACTTTACTGTCTTGGGGACAATTTTCCTTTTGGTTTACTTTGCTTGTAATTGAAATTAAATACGGATTAGGCAATACTTTTCATCATTTAAATTTTTTAAAGAAATATACAAATGGAATTAGATTTTTCCTAAATTTTCAAACAAATTTGATATTTTTCTATTCATGTATCCAAGTTATTTTCAATTTCATTCGAAATAAGGACATAGCATTACAAATTGTAGAATTATGGCATAAACAATCACAAAACAAGCCATATTTTTCTTCTAAAAGTGGTATTCCAAAGGTTGTAAGAGGATCAAAAATTGTTGGCTTATGTTTACCTTTCATCATGATCATTGTCGTAATAGGAATAACATCCTTGTTTAAGCAAATTTACAGAGAAGCAATACGGGAAATTGGTTACTTAAGAAGCTTATTTTGTTTAATATTGTATGTTATATCTTTTTGTTACGGATTTGGAATTTTTATGACTGCGTATATCTACGTCGTTTTCATATGTTTCATTTCAAGAAACAAGTTCATCGAAATTGCAAATGAATTAAAAACTTTCAAGGAAAATCCTGAAAGAATAAAATATTTTAAAACAATCCAAAGTCGCCACAATAGTGTTTGCAAATTAGTAGAGTTGTTTGATAACGTTTTTCGATATTACATATTTCTAGTATATTTCCATATGCTCCCTTTGACTTGTTTCATGTCTTATCAAGCTTTGTTTGAAGGGAGACCAGCTATTATAACTATAGCTATAATTACTGTTGTACTAAGCATGGTTCTTACTTTTACTTCTTTAACGATCATCTGTGGATCAGTTACTTCTGCAGTAAGTATAATTTATCTTGTATATAAAATTATAAATTTTATGCTTTCCTTCAAAAAATTGAATATAGCCTACTTATGCGTATAGGCAGATTATCCTCGCAAAATTATTCATGAAATTTTTAACTTGGAAATCCCATCGGAAATTCGATTACAAGTAAGATTTTTTTTTTTTAAATAGAACTTTTATCTGTTTAAGAATATGGTAATAATATATCTTATATAAAGTATTTTCATTTATAAATTTTTGTATAATTTTATTTCAGGCGACGATATTTTTACGAAGATTGAATGGACCGACAATAGGTTATACCTGTCTCAACCTATTCGTAATAACGAAAAATACTTTGTCCAGTGTAAGTTATATTCTAATTCTGATTTATACGGAAAGAGAGAGATGTTTAACATTTCTTCATTTTTAAAACGTTTTTGTTTTATATTCGATTCACTAAATTCAATCTACACATACTTAAGAACGGTAGTAATAGTCAAAGTATTTAACACTGGATACACAAATATAAATTCATACGTAATGCGTATAAAAATTAAAGGGACATTCTTACGTGCGATTGAGCTAGAGCATGTTATTTATAAATTAACTTTTGATGAGATTTCCTCTATCTAGCCTGTCTGAGCCATAATTCGACATAAAAAAATTGCATCAGAATCTTCTACTTGGTTTTTCTATTAAATTGGTAGTCATTGTAATCTCAATAATTAGAGCATTTCTTTTAATATCATTTATCATAGACATTATTACTGTGATATTTAACAGCCAGTATGGAAGTATTTATAAATTTTAACAGCCGATACTGCCGTACGATTCGAACTGGTTGAATATCACCCCTACTTAATGTTATAACACTTTTACTATCAATATATTGTATATCTTATTTAAAACGTTGAAAATAACTTTATTAAAACTGAAAATTTGTATATAATAAAAATATTTATTATTTTTGTCATAAACGAATGAAGGTCAACTTTTATATTGACTCGGCAATTTGATTTTACAGACATCAACGATGAAAACTACACCGAATATTTAATCTTTGCACATATTTTAAATTGTTAATAATTCGACTTTGTTAACGTAAAATATAAATAATTAAAATTAATTTAAACAATTAATATTTTATTAATATTAATAACTAACTATCACGAAAAATTATTAATTTACGTCTGAATAAGCTTATTATTTTTGAAAGTTGATCTCAAATTCATCTATTCACGAGATTCTATGAAACTCGCTACTGTATTAAAATGAACAAAGCTGCCCCGAGCGCTGAACTTCATTGCGTAAACTTATTTAACCCTTACGTAACAATCAATTATTACGTAACGGTTACATGCAATTCCTACTTATATAATAATGCAATAAATTAAAAATATCACGGTGCGAATGGAATTGGAAATGTTTTCCGTATGGTTCATAAGAGCAAAATAATAATAATTAAGAAAAAAAATTTGACTAATAATTAATTAAATTTATATTTATTATTAAAAACTTTTACGTATCTTAGGTAATTTTGACTTAGTAATTACCTAACTGAAATCCCGTCGCTGCTCGGAAGAAAAGTAATAAAAACAAACATTAAAATGAAAATCATATTAAAAGTTTGGTTTGTTTTATCTACCATTGTTTTATCATAAAGTGTCAAGGCAATGGTTCCCAAACTCTTGTGACTCGCGGATTCCTTAATCTGCTGCTATCTGGCAGTGGCTCTCAACTTGTTATTAAGTTAAATACTGACATTATATATATATGTTATATTTGGAGAGAAAACTCAGGTTAGGTGATACTCTATCTAAGAGTAATGGGTGTGTTGGTATTAAAGAATAAATACTATATTTATCGATAGAATATCATCAAACGAAAAAAATTCTCAAAAAAATTTTCTTTATTTTTCTTAATATTATATTAAAGCTTTTTTTATATTAGTCTTTTTATATTAAAGCAATATACAAATTTATAAAATTAGACTTTACGATATTTAAATCATGCATTTTATCTTCTTTATATATATTTATTATTTTCAATTAGCCTGTAGTCTGTATTTATTTTATTATTATTTTTATCATAAAGTAAATTAATTTGCAAGACGTTTCTTCAAAAAATGCACACCACAAGTCTACATTTACAAATTTTGTGTAAAAATTAAACATTACAAATGATTTATAAATAATTTTTTTTCTTGTTACAGATGCTGAGTATATTTATCACCTATTTTCTTCTTTACATACAATTTATGAAAGAATAATTATTGGCATTTTCGGAAAACAAAAAGTGAATCATGGTGCTATTCATATATTGGATTTTAAAGAAATATTTGATTTTAAAGAATATTTGAAATGCAAATATGAATATTTCTATTACTTGTTGAACTATTTTCTCACATTAAACAATTATATAGTTATATAAACTATATGTATATATTTTAAATAGTTTATATTAACGAAACTTAATTTGTATACTTTTAGAAGATTATTACTTTTTAAAATCTTTTTCTTATCCTACAAACTTATATTTAAAAAGTGTAAAATACAACAGTTAATATACTATTTATCATTGTGCTAAGTAAGAAAAATTCAAATTTTAAAATAATCTTATAATTTTTCATTATTTAATAACTAATGCATTTGTATGCATTAGTTAATGCATAACAATATGCATTAACTAAATGTAAGTATTGAAATACATACTCTTGACATGAGAATGCTGCTAATGAATAAATTAATAGATTGTAAATTCAGACACGTTAATGTTTTGTTTAATACAAAAATTTTAAACAAAATAACAAACATTTTTGTTTAAAACATTTTAGATTATAACAAAGCATTCTTTTATGAGGACGAGTCAAAAAAGGAAGAGTAAGAGTGAATTTGTTACTCACGAAATACATTAGGTAGGGTTTAGGTTTATAAATTCTTTTTTCAAAGTAGTCCCTATTGACTTGGCAGACAATTACTGTATATACAAGTCAATGGAAGACGTACTTAAACCCATCTTTTGACATCATCTTTAGGATAGTAGTTGATGAATCAAAACACTGATCAACAGCTCCAGTTTTATAGGAGTGAACAAATTGTCAACAAAGTCCGGTCTGTATAGAGAATGCGGCACACATTCGATATTTTATCAGGTCAAATATTGTAAAACAAAGTTGGCAAAGTGAGGGCTTGCATTATCGCAGTGTAAGCGCCAACCAGTTTGATGCAGCTCAGGGTTTTTACGTCGAATGTTTGGCCAAGGATTTCAAAGTTATCACGTGATACTGCCCAAAAACCGCTGAATGCAGGAGCACTTTATGTTGATAAACTGTTTCACTAACCGAAGAAGGAAATCACCATTATCTTTTTCACATTCCGTACAACCTTGGCCATGGGATATGTACAGTGTATTAAAGCATCGAACATCAACGGATGCCACGCCTTCTACAGCCATGTCATTACTCCGACGTGAGGTTTTTTTGTTCTCTCATCTGAAATTAGAGCTGCGGGACCTATAGACCTACGTTCGGTTCATTAACAGGCATTCTGAAGAATATATAATAGCATTATTTAACTGTAAAGCCTAATGTAAAATTCAGTGAGATAGCTAGAGGAGCCATTGGAATTACTCAAAACATACCTACTACTAAATAAAATTAAATACCGTATTTACTCGGATATAACACGATCTCGCATATAGGACGAGGTGTGACTTTAAAGATCAAAATAAAGAAAATTAGATTTATTATTACAATTCTAATTTTATTTCGTTTAATCACAAATAAAATATCAAATGCATGTAAATGCACACATTGTCCCTCAAAAATTACTGGCATTTTAAACTTCAAATAAAAATCTTGTAAAATCGACAACATAATTTGTTCATGTAAAGCTGGACAATTATTGGGAACCTTTTTTTCCAATTCTTAATTAACAGTCGAATTCACTCTTCGTCGATTACAATAACGAGTTTCTCCGAATTCTGATTTCCAAATAATCATCTGTTTTTACATGGGAATGAATTAAAACTTATATCGGGCTCCCGTGTAATTTTGGAATTTAATTCAAAAGCTTTGCTTTTCGTATTGTTATTCATCTTTACTCCTGATAATACACAAGAACGATTCAAACGACCCAGATAAATATTTTTGTTTTTAAACACCACGAGGTGAGAATCCGGTAAAAAATGCGAATACACAGTTTACAAAAATTATTGCAAAAACGAAATGAATTCTTCGCTCGCGCGTATAGGACGACCTAGGTTATTGAAGCAGTGAAAAAATGAATAAAAACCTCGTCTTATATTCGAGTAACTACGGTAAGTTATCTAGAATGTTTAAAATACATTTTCNAACAAAAAGGACAATTGTTTTATTTTATTTTCTATAAAACTGTACATAATTCAATATGGAAAAAAAACATATTGTATAATATCACACAAAATAATAAATGATATTTTGAAGTCAAATTTCAAAAGTTCAAATATTTTAAATTTATAGTTTAATATTTTTTCTAAAAATCCTTTAATCAAAAATTCTATTAATTACTTATTGGTAACAAAAACACTAAAATTAAAACATCCTAAAATATCTAAACTTGAATTTAAATTGTAAAATTTAAATTAAAAAATAAATTATTAATTAAAACTAAGGGAAATGTCTAGAAATTAAATTCCGGTTGGCTAGAAAGGAAGAGAAACTTGCTTGTTTGAACTTAGTTTATTCTCATAGGAAAATACATAGTTACAACTATTTTCAGAATATTTACCTTTGACATTCAGACCTTTGTCATAGCAACAGATAAGCTTTAACTCAAAGAACTTTCTCGCTCACTTATGGATCCAATAGTGATGAAGATCAAATCCACAGCTCTTCGTCGCTGTGGAGCAACAAACCGCCGAAAGTTATTTGAGATCTTGAAAAATTACAGTGGACTATTTAAAACAAAAGACGTAGTCTACTTAGCTCTGGAGTAATTTTACTTTACCGTAATGCACGGCCACATTCCATCTGCAGCATACAGGAATTGCTAAAAAAAAAAAAAAAAATTCAAGAGAGAATCTTTGAACAGTCAGCATGTAGTCCCGATAACACTTTCTGACTTCCAGCTGTTTTCGCATTTGAAGAAGTTTTTGGATGAATGATTCAACAGCATAGAGTATTTTCCATCATAAAATTACTGAGATAATAACAGCATGAATTTCTACCCTATAAAATACAGCACGCTCTTGCTAATCTAGTTTCTCAATTATCCGACATTCAATTATTATAATATGTTTGTCTCGTATTCGTATTTTTTAAAACATATACAGAAAACTTGTAACAATAATAATTTAATAAAGAATTAATCTTACAATTACTGTGTCACTGTATATAATTTCACAATAAGAAAAATAGTACAGCACCAAAAAGAATTAGTTCTCAAGGGCGACAGCTCACGTCATTCATTGCCTTTAAGCAGGCTTCAGGTCTGTATATTCTCAGTAATCTGATACCCTCTATGCAAAAATGAATGACGGATTAGTAAGTGGCTACTGTAATAGAAAAGATCACCCTTGTTTTTGAAATATTTTTTAGGTATGAAGTACGCTGGAAAATTGTGATTATGCTGTACTTTTTATTACAGTATGCAACTATTTCTTTGAATCAAATTCATTTCGCTCATCATTTAAATATTCCAAATAAAATATTATTTATTTATTCATAACATTTTAAACAACATTTTAGAAAAACATTTTATATAACTAATTACGTTATTACTCTAACTGCTTGCAAATTTTTTTGCATTTATCTTTTATTAACTATGACGTTTTAAATTATTATTTTTATTAATTTAAATTGTTTTTTCATAAAAGTTAGTTTTGTATAGAATAATATTTGCATATTAAATAAATATTATAATATCTCATCAACTCTTTGAATTAAATTCTACTATATATAAATTGTTATCTTGGTCTTTTGTTATGTAAAAATAATTAATTAATGCATAACTTATCATTCATTATTATCTTAAAGCCTGCAATTCTGCAAGCAAAATTATGTGATCCGCCAAAAGCATGCGAAATTCACCCGTGGCCCACATTCAGCAAAGGTTCTAAATCATTATAAACTTGTTTTTATGAAACAGACCTATTGTATAATACAGTAACATAATTTTATGTAAATTTCTATGTAAAGTTCAATCGCACATAGATTTAATATTTTTGATATTTATTGTGCATTTTCACTTTTATTTAACTTAGTGTTTTATACAAATAACATTTAAAATGTAACGTTTAAAAATTCAATATTACTGTATGATGTCAAAGCCTTCCTAATTAACGACGTTTATCTTAACATATATGCATACGCGTGCTTATTAGTATGTTTAATGAAAGCGAAGAATATTAAAAGTTAATAAATTTAAATTTATAAATTTTTATAATCTCTGTAAACATACTTGTTATTTTTTCTTGAAATTTTGTATGAGATTGTATAAAATTAAATTTAATGAAAATCTATTTTTGATAAAAAGTAAAAGTAATAAATAAAATGGTAAATGAGTTTAATTTGTTGCTTTATTTTTAAATATGTTTCTTGATATACTGTATTTAATCTAATTTTTAAAAATTTAAATCTCTTAAAATGAATAACAAAAAGGACAATTGTTTTATTTTATTTTCTATAAAACTGTACATAATTCAATATGGAAAAAAAACATATTGTATAATATCGCACAAAATAATAAATGATATTTTGAAGTCAAATTTCAAAAAGTTCAAATATTTTAAAGTTATAGTTTAATATTTTTTCTAAATATCCTTTAATCAAAAATTCTATTAATTACTTATTGGTAACAAAAACACTAAAATTAAAACATCCTAAAATACCAAAACTTGAATTTAAATTGTAAAATTTAAATTAAATTATAAATTCTTAATTAAAACTAAGGGAAATGTCTAGAAATTAAATTCCGGTTGGCTAGAAAGGAAGAGAAACTTGCTTGTTTGAACTTAGTTTATTCTCATAGGAAAATACATAGTTACAACTATTTTCAGAATATTTACCTTTGACATTCAGACCTTTGTCATAGCAACAGATAAGCTTTAACTCAAAGAACTTTCTCGCTCACTTATGGATCCAATAGTGATGAAGATCAAATCCACAGCTCTTCGTCGCTGTGGAGCAACAAACCGCCGAAAGTTATTTGAGATCTTGAAAAATTACAGTGGACTATTTAAAACAAAAGACGTAGTCTACTTAGCTCTGGAGTAATTTTACTTTACCGTAATGCACGGCCACATTCCATCTGCAGCATACAGGAATTGCTAAAAAAAAAATTCAAGAGAGAATCTTTGAACAGTCAGCATGTAGTCCCGATAACACTTTCTGACTTCCAGCTGTTTTCGCATTTGAAGAAGTTTTTGGATGAATGATTCAACAGCATAGAGTATTTTCCATCATAAAATTACTGAGATAATAACAGCATGAATTTCTACCCTATAAAATACAGCACGCTCTTGCTAATCTAGTTTCTCAATTATCCGACATTCAATTATTATAATATGTTTGTCTCGTATTCGTATTTTTTAAAACATATACAGAAAACTTGTAACAATAATAATTTAATAAAGAATTAATCTTACAATTACTGTGTCACTGTATATAATTTCACAATAAGAAAAATAGTACAGCACCAAAAAGAATTAGTTCTCAAGGGCGACAGCTCACGTCATTCATTGCCTTTAAGCAGGCTTCAGGTCTGTATATTCTCAGTAATCTGATACCCTCTATGCAAAAATGAATGACGGATTAGTAAGTGGCTACTGTAATAGAAAAGATCACCCTTGTTTTTGAAATATTTTTTAGGTATGAAGTACGCTGGAAAATTGTGATTATGCTGTACTTTTTATTACAGTATGCAACTATTTCTTTGAATCAAATTCATTTCGCTCATCATTTAAATATTCCAAATAAAATATTATTTATTTATTCATAACATTTTAAACAACATTTTAGAAAAACATTTTATATAACTAATTACGTTATTACTCTAACTGCTTGCAAATTTTTTTGCATTTATCTTTTATTAACTATGACGTTTTAAATTATTATTTTTATTAATTTAAATTAAAGTGGTTACTCTATAGGTGTAATTGTATCACAATATAATGTATTTCTCAAATATATATATTTTTAAATTACATCTTAATGAATAGAATATATATACTACACATTACACTACAGAATGAAATGCTTTCGGTTATTTGATCTAATTAATCTATTTAAATATTTCAGTTCATAACTTTTAATTTAAAAAAATTTATGATATACTTATAATAATCATGCAAAGAATAAACACTATATTTATTTTATATAAAGTAAATTTAATATAATTATTTTCATACTAGAAAACATCGTCCCTTTACCCACGTGCTTTGCTCACTTGTTCAAAAATTTAGTGACGATTTTAAACTAAGTATTTTATACAAACAGATTAACCACAAAACAAGTAAAAATATCTGTAAGAAACTGTTCCTCTGTCTTTTTTCCCGTATTAATAGGAAATAAAATAACTAATTCTTAAAAAAAAAATAGAAAAAGGCTTGTATTTATTTAAAAAGTTCTACTGACAAGTGAGACGGATCTCAAGATGCACAATTTAGGCAAGGATACAAAAATGCGCTGCACTAAAGCTGTTATATCATCACTAATAATTAAAATAATGACTGATATGATC